TAAAAAGAACCACGCAATATTTTTAGATATTGACTTCCCTACAATAATGACCACGAGCCGCCACTGGTATTCATGCATTAGAAACGGAATCGACATCAAGAATCTCCTAATTTTTTTGAATTTGATTGGAAATTATGCGAGTTTTTTGTACTTTTCAAAGCTTATTTTATGTCATTTGTTATTTATCCTACAATTATTTTTGTCTAGAGATAGTAAATAAGAAAGACTTTATACAGGGTGGCCCATCGAAAACGTTCCGCAAAGCATAACGGCCAGGGTAATTTTTTTTTCAGAAAATTCAAAAACACGTCAATTTTGTTTGTGAGGGAGACAATTTTTGCCCCAAAAATGATTGCAAAATCTTCAACCCTCTAAGCGGGGGTGTCATCCCCCAATTTTTTTCAAATGGGAAGGGGGTCAAGTGGTACCGCATTGAAAAGGGCTTTCTATTCTCTATACTTTCCCGCTTCGTTTTTGAAAATCGGTCGAGCCATTGAGAAAATATGAAGGATTGAAATTTGAAAAGTTTATTTAAACATTTATCAGAGTAAATGATAAGGATAAATTCCTTCGACCAATTTGCTGTTTTTTCTTATTATTTCTAGATGTTTACGCATTTTTTCACTTGCCACAAGGATGAACGATCGGGTTAGATAAGTGTACTTTCTTTTTGAAAGGTGTAGTTAATCGGCACAACTGTCGGTACTGGGCTGAGGACAACCCCAGGGTTTTTCACGAGGTGCACACACAAAACCCTAAGAAATTGAACGTGTGGGCTGGTATTTTTAGAAATTCTATTGTGAGTCCTTTTTTTCTTCCTGGAAATCTAACAGGTGATATGACTTGGATTTACTGGAAAATACCATCGACCCAGCCCTAACTGACATCATAGAGAACAATCCTGGACACGTTAAAGCGGAACTAATATTTCAAAAAGACGATGCACCTCCACATTACTCTCAAAATATGCGTAATTATTTAAACAATAACTTTTCCGTTCGGTGGATAGGACGAAGGGGTGCAATTGAGTGGCCTCCCCGGTCACCCGACTTGACTCCTTTAACCTTTTTTCTATGGGGACACATAAAAAGTAAAGTGTATAGCACTCCACCCGCCTCATTAGAAGACCTGCGAAGACGAATTATTGATGTTTGTTGCGAAGTGACCCCGCAAGTTCTTCAGAATGTTCTAGAACGGATTGAAAATAATTTGTATTACTGTATGGAGGTTGACGGGCAACATTTTCAGCATTTTCTTCATTAATAAGATAAGTTTTTTTTAATTAATTCAATTTATGCGTTTTTTGCAAAAAAGTACTTTTCAAATTTCAGTCTTTCATATTTTCAAAATGACTCGTCCGATTTTTAAAAACGAAGCGGGGAAATATAGAGAATAGAAAGCCCTTTTCATTGCGACGCCACTTGGCCCCCCTTCCCATTTGAAAAAAGTTGGGGGATGACACCCCCGCTTAGAGGGTTGAAGATTTTGCAATCATTTTTGGGAAAAAGTTGTTCCCCTCACAAACAAAATTGACGTGTTTTTGGATTTTTCAAAAAAAAAATATTATTGGCTGTTTTGCCTTTCGGAACGTTTTCGATGGGACACCCTGTATGTTCGTCAGTCATGGCAAATGTTGTCGGTTATCATGAGATTTTTATTTAGATTAGAACAAGCAAATTTTTTTATGAAGAATGCATTTTTGCCAAATTGTCAATAATAAAAAAGTTTTTCCTCCTGTAAAGACAAATTCTGCAATACGATTATAAAACTTCATTGTTTCACCTCTTTGCATACCTATTCCTTTGTTTTTTATTATGTTTATTAAAATGGTGTTTCAGATATATGCTAAATAATTTTATTTTGCTTCAAAGGGTGGTTCTCTGGGGTAGGTATATGGGTAAATTCTATATACATCGATGAGTATTTGGAGCATCCGGAGGTTACGCAAAGCGTTTTCCTTCACGACCTTTACTCTGACTGAAAAGCCCGTAAAAAAAATACGTTATGTTATCTCTCTTCCACACTTCAGACATTCAAAAATATCATTGCTTTGTTGTCTCTTTACTTTTTGGTTGTCGTTGTTAACCGAGTTTACAATTCTTCTCCATTGCGTTCTATTGTGAGCTGCTTCTTCCCTAATGCATCAAACTGATGATGCATGCTTATCCCCTTTAAGTTTTCGTGAAAAATATCCTTGTACCTTTTGAATTGTCCACCCGGTTTCCTCTTACCCTCTACAAGCTAAGATAAAAATAGTATAAGTAAAGAAGATATTTTGAAAAATAAAAATATGCCTGGTAGTGGACAAGGAGTGTTCCAGTTCTTAATCTCGAGATTATTCCGATTATCTCGTCATAATCCTCAGCAGTAAACGTCATTGTGGTTAAGCTACGGAGCAAAAACCGAGGCTGCCGCTTGTCTTTTTTCCAGGACGTCTCGACGTGTTCGGCATCGTAAAGAATCGGTTTTATCGTCGCGTACTCTAGGCTTCACAATTATAAAGGTGGCCCCAGACGAAACAGAATTTGATCTAATGAAGTAATGAATCAATTTAAGATCTAAAAAGGTCTATCGGGGAACCATTAACTGTCCTAAATCGTACTGGTATGTTCTAAATCGTACTGCTCAATTTGCACAATACAGCATGTAGTGTTACTCTTTAGGTCACATCATTGAAAATAACAAAATAAATAGAAGTAAAGTGATATTTAGCCATGTGGAATGTAATCATTAATTATTACATTCTCTCAAACCATACACAAAATCACTTACCATAAATCATCGAATTAGGTATTTGAGCAGAGGTACAAAGAATCTTTGATAAGTATTATTCTGCAAGCACTCGTGCTACTCGAAAAAGATCTGTTACTGGACGTCTTATTGAGTTTACTAATATACCACAAGGTGTCTCGTCATTGCAGTTATGAACCAGATATTGAAGCGGTAAGCGGTAATTATAGTAGGTAGATACGGTATCGGCAACTTTCCTCTAATGTTTTCTTATGTTAAACAGCCGTGAAAAGATAAAAAAAAAGACTTAAGTATTTGTTTTGTTGTGAACAATAAGGTAGGTCTGAAAATGAACCTAAATGAAACAAAGTAGGTACGTGTTGGTACCTACAACGAACTGGTAGATAAACATTTAGAATAATATTACAAACATTTGAAGGTAAAATTAAAATAAATCAATTATCGTCAACTACTTCTAATGCAGTAACATTTGAAGTAGTAGTTGAGCGAATAGATAAGTACCAAAAACAAAAAACTGCCTTGAAATTGTCGTGTATGGGTACCCTTAAGCATTATTTTTATGGTGAAGTACTGGTCTCGGGAGATCGTAAAACGAGGTACGCGGTTGCCGCTCTAATCGCGCGTAATCGTAGGCCACGATCAGGTAATTCTAGTTACACCCCCTCAAGTCTTTGACCAACCGCGAAGTTGAGGCTCAAGGTTACGGAATCTCGCTGGCGCGGTTGCGTTCAACGCCGCCAGATGACGCCAGCTGTCGGGTTGAGGAAGCCACGTTGTCGGTTGTTGCGGTTTCTAGGATTTCGTATGATTTTTTAGGGAAGTCATAAAAAAGATGTTTTACTCCATATAAAAGCGATTTTGTGTTATTTAATTATGTTATGAATTATTTTTGAATTATAAAAGTAAGCTTATAGTTTAAAAAATCAGGATTGATAATACTTTATATAAAATTGTATCAAAATAAAACCCTAATTTACTACGATATAAAAAAACGCTTACCCTCAAAGCTAAACTCGTAAAACTAGTTTTGTGTTAATGTTTAAAGACAGAAAAACAGGCAAAGCTGTAGCGGGTCTCCTAACAGGGCACTGTAATCTTAATAGAAATCTCAAGCTTAGTTAGTCACTCTGAAGAAAAAAACACAGAATACATTTCATGCCGCTGCGGCAGCCTGGAAAATGTGCAAATATCTTTGTATTATACAATGATAAGCCATTGGAGGGTTCAGTCTCCAAGTTGTTAGACTTTTTAAAAAGGATAGGACTGGAGAATGTGGCCCAGAGATCCAAAGAAGACCACAATGGATCTGAAAAGGCTGCAATGGAAGAGTAGCTACCTCGCAGAATCTAATCTAATCTGTTTAAATGCGGATGTTAACATAATTAGAGAAACGCACGTCCAGTTTTATTATATTTTGCTGTTGTAACACCAAAAGTACCTCTATTATATTAGGGATCTACTGTAAAATTATATAGGTTATAACACCTATCGTCGTTTTTAAAATAACATTGCGTTTTTTTCAATCCTACTGTAACTAAATGAGTATTTATTAATTTTACTAATAAACAAAATTTCAAAAAAATACTTTACCATAAATTATTAAGTAGAACTGTTGACGTCGTTTAAAGAAAATTCATTTTTTAAATGTTTTTTTTTTATATTTTTTTTAATAATTTAAAAGTTAGTGCATATTAAACAACAAAACTATTAACAGAAACTTTTTTTATACATATTTTTTTCCATGCAATTTTTAACAATAGTGTAAGAAGATACAAAAATTTGATTAATATTTTGGAAATCTAACACAACAGAAACTACTTTTATCTATTTACGCGTTACCTTTAACCCGGTAAAGTGTTATTTATTATTTATTAGGTATATACAACCCAAACCAAACCAAACAATACAATAATTGCTATAAGCTAGGTACACAAATTTACTTAAGTCGGTTAAAATGCACATTTAATGTTTTTCAAATAAACGTTTCAATTGTATTATGAAACTAATTTATTAATACGAAAGTTGATAAAAATAAAAAGAATCGCGCTAAAAATGATAATCGAATAAAAGTGGATAATTAAACGAGATAATAAGATTTTGCGGATGAGTGAAGTGGCAACTGCGTGAGCAGATATTTTGCGCAGCGCGCGCACTTGGCACCTCCCTCCGAGGTGGGGTTATCTGCAGCCCGCCTCCAGGCCAACAAACTCTACGCAAATGTTGGAAAGCGGCGAGCAGTTTGCCGCGGCCGTCGATCCGCAACGTGGTCCGTAACACGGTACGAGACACGAGCCCTTCGAGCCCCCAGTTCGCAACGTTGGCGGTGGTGGCCCCGTCGCCGCCATTCTGCCGCCCCGTGCCGCCGCCTGCTGTCCGGATGCGGCGCTCCCCATGAGCCTGGGGCCGGCGCGGCCCCCCGTGCCGGGCCTTATCCCCCTGGCGGCCCTGGCGCGCCCCCGCCGCCCCCGCGAGGCGATCGATGCGGCGGCGGCGCCGTCACGTGGTCCGGAGCCGCGCGCCGCTGCCGCCCCTCGCCGCCCTCACCGGGGTCGGAGTCGTCGCCGCCGCCGGGCCGCTTCTTCTGTTGGTAAACAGAGCCGCAGCTCGTCGCCCGCGCTAGACCGCCCGCCGCGAGTTAACCCCATCTTCGTGTGGGTCCGTCAGGAAGATACGCGCATCGTGGACGTGAAATGCGAGGATTACGACAAGAGGAACCGCATCCTGCTGACCAAGACGGCGCACGGCTGGCGCGCTATCCCCAGGACGGAGATGCTGGCCGCCCCCAGGGCGTCGGCTGAGCTCGAGACCTCGACCGACCCTTGCACGCCGCCGCACCATCGTCACCACAAGCGTCGCTCCAAGCGATCCAAAACAACACACCTCAAGTCCGCTTCCGTACAATTCCCCGAAAACGACGACGAAGTGGCCGATCATGAACAGGAACAGGAACCTGAACATCCCCCACCTCCAGAACCCTCCTGGGTAACATCGGAGAACGTAAACATCGAGTCTCTCCTCCCCTTGCACACGATCCAGGTAAAAAGACCACCCTCCTCAGATGAAGTGAGTCCCTTAGAAAACCTACTGGCTGTAGCCGAACTCGAACTGAAACAACACATCCAATCTGAAAACTGGAACAACCAAAATGATTCAGGTGAACGACCACCGAGCGTGAAATCCCATACCACGGAAGATATTGACGAACTCCTAAAAAGCAAAGCTCAGGAGATGGACATCGTGAGCCAGATCGACTTGACCGATGACGAGCACAAGTCTCAAGGCTGTAGTTATAACGATGACGACGAGATGTCCATGAACGATATTCTGACCAAACTGGAAAGGTCATTGCAAAGCCCTCAAAGCTACGACGACGAAAATGAGTTTGATGGAGAAATAAAACAAGAGGAACTCAAAGATTTCCCTTCTAGTATTGAACCTGTATCTGAATATACTATTCCATCTCTAGAACCAAACGCTCAGTTTGATATAGAAATAAAAGATGAGTTTGAGCATCCTCTTTCTGATGATTTGCATTTAGGAGATGAGAAAGATGAGTCTATTGATAAGCACATAGATGAAGTTGCTAGCCTGTTAGTTGAAAAGATCTTTGAAGAAAACATTTCTACACCAGAAGAAAATATACTTCAAAATACTAATACTGATGATCAAACAGAAAATGTAGAAAATTTGGAAAATGCATTAGAAACAAAGTCCGACAATGAAAATCTTGAAAAAGATGAAGAGACTTTAGCAACACAAGATCTAAAACCTCTAATAGAAGCGACTTCGGAACCGAAAACTCCTGAAACTGAACCTAAAGAATCAGAAACACAAATTGATGTTCCATCATCAGATACTCCAAAAGAAATAGAAAAATCTCCAGATACCCATGTAGAGGAGATAAAGGAGCAAAAAGAAGAAGAACCAGCCATATGTCTTGATTTATCGGTAAAAAAATTACCTGCCCTTACCATCGATGTCAATACCAACCCACCAGATGATAATGAAGACGGGCCTACTGATTTAAGTATACGCAAAACTCATTCTTCTCCTAAGCTTGACTCAACTCGACCGCCATCTCAGAATTCCGAAGCAGTTCAGTCACCCCAACCCAGTGGAATACCTGCTGTTCCTCCATCTCCTGATATCGTCTCGACCAGTACCACTGTTTCAAAGTCCAGGTCAGCATTTTTGGAGTCTCTTCTGTCCAGTTCCATTCAAAAAATGCCTTTGAATTCGGAGGTTACCATCACCAAACAGAAAGAACCTCTTGATTTAGGGAAATGTAGAAAATCTGCCAGTCCCACTGTTACTTGCTCGGAGGAAATCCATAATCCTGATTCTGAACCACCACTAAAGAAAATGAAGCCTGATGACATTACTTTGAAGACTTTGCTGGATAAAGACGTAGAAAATCTGGATCATACTAAAGAGAAAACTCCAAAACCTGCATCTCAGAATCATTCCAGAATAGGAAATTTGTTAAAAACTGTAAGTAATGAACCGCAGGATCCTCTGAGAGAATATAAACAGCTCCTGGCTGAAATGGACATTCCAAATCCCATTATGGTACCAAAAGACTGCTTTGCCAACCTCCTGAAACATCCCAGAAAAGAAATTCTAAGAATTCTTAGTACTCAACCCGATAAGAATATTCCTCTTGATGATATTCTGGTCGTGTACAAAGATAGGCTACTAGCTGCTTTGGAGTCCAACGCAAACAGCGGTGCATCAAGTTCTAACAAAGTGGAAGTTTCGAAGTTACTCCCTAAAACACCAAGTCGACAAACTGAGAGGAACAATAACGAGAAACTTCCAGTCAAAAGAAAACATTCTGAAAGTGCTACTAAACCATCAAATTCTGTACCTGATACATCAGCTAAAAATATTCTAGCAAGTGACATCGAAGCAGCCAACGAAGCTTTGAATCCCCTGTTCTGGTCTTCTTGTCCCAATCCTTTCGAGGCCATGGCGAACTACCAAAACCATAACGAATTCATTCAAGCTTTATATGCTGCATCGTCACTACCATACCTTCCCAATCAGCTTAGTGAGCTTCACCCAGGTCTACAAATGATCCTAGGAAACAAGGCAGGTCCTCCTGTAGGTTTTCCTTCGATGCCTCCAGTGAATTTCAACAATCCTCTTGAGTTATCGCTTTGGCAAGAAGCAATGATGCAGGCCAGTATGCTGAGAAACAAAAATCCTTACGAGAGCTCCATTTTGAATCAGCCGAACTTTCGAACGAATTTGGAAAATAAGAAAGCCCATTCCCATCAAACTCATGGAAATAGACATCATTCCAGGCATCCTTCGAATGCCAATAACGATCACAACAAGAGTATGACTCAAAATCAGGCTTTGCAACAGCAACAATCGTTGCTTCAAGGACTGTATGGACAAAGCTCCATGAGCAATCAATCAGGCTGGCAAAATCCTTATTTGGGATTGGGTGGATTTCAGCAAGGAAGTAACAACCTGGCTCTGAATGTACCTCCATTTAATCCATTCAGTCACAAAAATAACGTCAGTTCGAATAACAAGCACAGTCAACAACTTAGCCCGTCGTTTATGCAAAACTCTAGCAAAGAATCTAGTCTTTTAGCTCAGTTTAATGAACAGGAGAAGAGACTGCATCAGCAAATGATGCAAGAACAACAGAAACTTCAGCAGATGCAACAGGAGAAGATGATGAGGCATCAGCATCAACAGTATCTTCAGCAGCAGCATCAACATCAAATGATGAGGCAAGGTAATGGAACCAAGGCATCAAAGTTTCCATTTCTATTCAACAAGGAAGGATCTCAAGTCGAGAAAGCTCATTCTGATCACCCAAAACAGCTTCAGGGACCTATAGATCTGTCTGGCCCACCGAATATTAGAGCTAAAAGCAAAGGAAGTGGAGCTAATGGAAGCCTAAGAGGAAACCCAAAAGCGATGCTGGATGATGTGCCGGAAGTCGGGAGTACGACGGGGAGTATAGATGAAATGCAGGAGGCGCACGCGCTATGGCATCCTTTATTCGGAAGGTAAGAAACAGCATAAAATTTTATCGATCCTTTATAATAGAAATAAAGCACAGCGCCTACAGTCTTTATTGCAATTTTTACGGTGCATTTCATAAAAGTTTACTGCTATACCGATATTTTAATATTTTATTTTTTAATATACTATTTTTAGTAGTTATTTATTATTTAACAGTTTAAAAGCGAGAACGTTCGATAAAATGCAACTAAAACACGAATTTAATAGAACGTTTTATCACAGTTTAAAGAGTGGTTTTATCCACAAATACATGTAGGTATATATAAAATAGCTAAAATTATAAAAACTTGATGGAACAATGAGCTTTATTTAAATCGAATTAAAGATTTTGTTATATGGTAACTGTGTTAATAAGTACTGAAACAAACAAATCTTGACAAAAGTAAAATAAGAAAAAAGAGAAGTTACCCATAAATATCACACAATAAAATATTATTTACTAATGATATACAAGGTATTCCAAAAAAGATCATACTATTTTCATTTAAAGGAATAGAAGATGCAATAATTATCAAGTTGAGGATGTTAGAGAAGTAGGTTATATGTAATTACTGTAAAAATGGTCAGTAATGTTAAAATTATACCATTTAAGACTCACATGTTTAACTACTTTAATTCAAGAATGCGGTCAAGAAACAGAGAATGGTTTATTTAAAATTAAAATAAAGAATCTTTTAGAAGAAACGAATATGCTAATTTTCTGAAAATAAATCTTAAAAATATTTTTAAAAAGTGTTATTTATAGAGGGTGTTTCAAAACAAATGCGAAAAACTTTAGGGGGCGATTCCTTGTTCAAAATAAAGGGTAGTTTGCTTTATAAACGTTGGGTCAAAAGTCAACCATTAGGGAGATATCGCGGTACAAAGATGGCGGAAAAATAATGTTTTTATTTTTTATCTTGAAAACGAATAGAGATAGACTAATGAAATTTTATGGAAGGATTACTGTTATGAAAACACACTTTCAGGTAATTTTTTTACTTTTTTAAAATGAGTGGAAGGGGTTGAAATAAACTACCCCTATCATTCTTGTTAACGAAATTTAAAGAAAAATCTTATCAAACACATGCAAATGCTTTAATTTGGGTAGTTTAGTTTGTTTAGAAACTTTTTTACCTCTTTTGTTTTTTTGATAAAACTCACCGATTGGAAATTAAAAAATAAAATGTAAAGCATTACATGTCAGGACAAAAAACATTTTTAGATTAAGATCTAGTGATAATAACGATAATAATAATCTAGATAATAACGTATTGCAGTAGAGTAATGTCAAATAAAATAATATTAGGAACATCCTAAAAAGTAAGAGCGGCCGACTAGATTTTTTCCTAAATAAATTACAGCAGCCCACTAGATTTTTTATCAGAAAATGTTTTTTTGTCCTGACATGTAATGCTTTACATTTTATTTTTTAATTTCAAATCTGTGAGTTTTATCAAAAAAATACAAGAGATAAAAAAGTTTCTAAACAAACTAAACTATCCAAATTAATTTTTTTGCATGTATTTGATAAGATTTTTCTTTAAATTTCGTTAACAAGAATGATAGGGTAGTTTATTTCAACCCCTTCCACTCATTTTAAAAAAGTGAAAAAATTACCAAAAAGTGTGTTTTCATAACAGTAATGCTTCCATAAAATTTTATTAGTCTATCTCTTTTCGTTTTCAAGATAAAAAAATAAAAACATTATTTTTCCGCCATCTTTGTACCGCGATATCTCCCTAATGGTTGACTTTTGACCCAACGTTTATGAAGCAAACTACCCTTTATTTTGAACAAGGAATCACCCCCTGAAGTTTTTCGCATTTGTTTTGAAACACCCTGTATATCGTTAGAATTACGAAAAAATATTAAATAAACAAATTTTAGGGAAGCTTGATTTAAAATCATTTTTCATCGGTATACAGGGTGCTTCAAAAGTGTGTGACTGATAAAACATATATACATATTTTTGTAATGTGTCACCGTAATATTTATTTTGTAATTATATTCTGTGTGAAATTCGATAATTTTTTTATACAGGGTGAGTTTCCTACGATGTTCTCTATGGGTATCTCGGAAACTACTGGAAATAGAGAGTCGGTTAAATTGGGAAAGAATTGCAGTTTTGTGGGGTCATAAATATGCGCCTTTCAGATTTTTGAAAAAGTTCATGGCTTACTAGATATTTAGAAAAAAACAAATTTCGGCTATTTTAAAAATTGTCCCTAATTCCATTATAAGCTGTTTTAGACAAAAAGTTTTCAGATAAAAGTTGTAGATAATCACATCCTTAATGAGATTGCGTCCTCCGTTTTTTTCTAAAGCCTGCCATTTTTGACATTTGACACAAACATATGTTTTTTTAAATGGAAACCATAGTTGGCCATGACTTTATAAAAATTGCCATTTTTTAAGCTTTTCAGCGATATAAGCTATAATATGTTTTCTTCGAAAAATTATCGAGTTATAGCCAATTCTTATAATTTTTAGATAATTTCACTTAGTTAGCCATGGAAACAATCGTCTTTGCTCTTATAAATGTGAAGCTGCCACATCCAAACTTTGTAAATTAAAATAAACAAAAATTGTAAATATGAATTTTTCAAATGAAGAAAAGCGTGTAAGATTATTGGTTCAACTTTCTTGACCATACATTTTCGAGGATACGTTGACCGGTGAATGTTATGTTTTTTAGAGAACGATTTTCAAGACTTGTTAGAAAAGTTAAATTTAGTTATAGCCAATTCTTATTTCTCTTGACTAATTTCACTTAGATTGCATGGCATTTTTATTCTTTTGTGATTTATAACTTATAAAAAGTCAGAATATATTACTAAATGTAATGTAAATTCTTTAGAATTTACATTACACAAACTAAAACTTAAAAAAATAATATCGCTGCAGTCGAGTCACTGCATACACTTTAAGTTATTTTAGAAAATGTTCAAAAATTCCATTGTTTTGAGTTACATCTTTTTAAAACTGAATTATTACCTATTCTCACAAAAGGACCGGTTGATTTAATTAAACTTCTCTCGTACCGCCACTTCGAGTGCCTCTCGTAATTCATAAGTTCTTTTGTAAACCTTATTTTAAAACTTAAATTTAAACCTTAACCTGAGTTTATATTATTATGATATCAATAATTTTTAACATTTCTTTCATTATGCGGGGGGGGGGCATAATGGAATCACTCTATTGATGCGCGAGTATCTACACGCTTTTCTTCATTTGAGAAATTCATATTTACAATTTTTGTTTATTTTAATTTACAAAGTTTGAATGTGACAGCTTCACATATCTGAGAGTAACGGCGATTGAACTTGTTTCCATAGCTAACTAAGTGAAATTGTTTAAAAATGATAAGAATTGGCTATAACTCAGTAATTTTTCGAAGAAAACATATTATAGCTTATATCGCTAAAAACTTAAAAAATGCCGCTTTTTATGAAGTCATGGCCAACTATGGTTTCCATTTAAAAAAACATATGTTTGTGTGATATGTCAAAAATGACAGGCTTTAGAAAAAAACAGAGGACACGATCTCATTAAGGATGTGATTATCTACAACTTTTATCTGAAAACTTTTTCTCTAAAATAGCTTATAATGGAATTAGGGACAATTTTTAAAATAGCCGAAATTTGTTTTTTTCTAAATATCTAGTAAGCCATGAACTTTTTCAAAAATCTGAAAGGCGCATATTTATGACCCCACAAAACTGCAATTTTTCCCCATTTAACCGACTCTCTATCTCCAGTAGTTTCCAAGATACCCATAGAGAACATCTTAGGAAACTCACCCTGTATGTAATATTAGATACCTAAAACTAGTATTTTGCGTTAATATTTGTTATAGACAAAATTTTAACCATCATCAAAATTCGCTCAAAAACCAGGGTTTCTAAAATTAATTTTCTAATAAATCCAGAGCATTTAAGCTCTAATAGTTTTATATTTTTAAATATATAAAATTTCCTACAAACACTGTAATTTTCAAAATTTTATGACCTGGTTTTATATGATCTGTTTTTCTAAGAGCCTCAAAACCAGATAAAAAATAGCCATAAATGGGCACTTTTTTCCCTACACATAGTCATGAAAATTGGAATTTTTGGACATGTCAACGATTTTGATAAAACTTCTAACTAAGGGATAGAAAACGAAAATAAAGGCCATTGTGGTCTTACATTTAAGATCCTTTGATGTAGGAAAAGTTTTAACCAACATCAATATTCCCTCAAAAACAAGGGTTCGTGAAATTAATTTTCTAATAAATCCAAAACATTTATCCAAACATTCATATAATTTTTTCTCAGAGCCTCAAAAGCGGGTAAAAAATAGCCTAAAATGGGCAATTTTTCAACTTTTTTCCAAACATATAGTCATGAAGATTGTTGATTTTGGGCGAAATATGTCGATTTTAATAAAACTACTGTTATTTATTGACTAGAAGGTGTAAAAACGAAAATATTTGGCCTTGCATTTAAGGTCCTTGATGTAGGTAAAGTTTAACCATCTTCAAAAACTACTACTACTACTACTGCCATTACTCGCTGACGAGTATTTGACACGCATCAGAAGATGGTCACGCAAGGCGTTTTCTTTCATGAGCCTTTCTGTGACTGAAAAGCCCAATACGTGATGTTATTTGTCTACCGCACTCCGGACATTCAAGAATCTCACTGCTTTGTTGCCTCTTAACTTTTTGGTTCTCGCTGTTAACTGAGTTTACAATTCTTCTCCCATTGAGTTCTATTGTGAGCTGCTACTTCCCACTCATTCTGCACATTAACCCCCTTTAAGTTTTCGTGGAAAATGTCCTTGTACCTTTTGAGTTGTCCCCCAGGCCTCCTCTTCCCGTCTACAAGCTCACCGTAAAGCAGAGATTTTCGTATGCGGTTTTCTTGCATTCTGCATACGTGACCAGCCCATCTTAAGCGGGATTTTGTAACCATGACTTCAATACTCTCGCAGTTAGCTTTTTCAAGGACCGATACGTTTG